CATTTCCTTCAGGGATTTCATGTGCTGATCAGATCAGACAACACATATCAGGCACCGCTCCTGCTCCCAGCACTGAATGCATAAACAGACAAGGGGGCATGCGCTCTCAACGGCTTCACAGTCTAGCTCACAGACTAATTGTGTGGAGCAGCACTCGGTTTCTGTCGCTTCGTGCAACACACGTGATGGGTACAATGAACAGCGGAGCGTTACGGAGATTGGGCACTTCACCCACAGGTGGTGATTCAGTTGTGGCAGAGATACGGACAGGCTGCCGTAGATCTCTTTGCATCGCGTGAAAACGCGCAGTGCCCTCTGTTCTTTTCCCTAATGGGAGAGGATGCACCTCTGGGTGTGGATGCTCTAGCCCACCCGTGGCCAAACGCATTGTTTTACGCGTTTCCCCCGCTAAGTCTCATCGGGCCAACATTACAAAGAGTACGGGAATTCAGACATTCACTGATTCTGATTGCACCGTATTGGCCGGGAAAACTGTGGATAGCGGAAATAATTCCACTTCTATACGATCAACCCTGGCCTCTCCCGTTGCGCAGGGATTTTCTTTCTCAGGCGAACGGGGAGATATTTCATCCCGCACCCCACAAAGTAGCTCTGTGGGCTTGGCCCGTGAGAGGATGAATTTAAATGCCATCGGGTTACCCTCTAACGTGATTGACACAATACAGAGTGCGATGGCAGCCTCCACACGCTCTCTGTATGGTCACAAATGGAGAGTGTTTGAGCGATGGTGTGCAGAGAGGCATATTACTTCGTTTTTATGCTCTGTATCGGATGTTCTTTGCTTTATGCAAGAACTATTGGATAAAGGTAGAGCCTTTTCGACTGTAAAATTCTATCATTCAGCTATTTCAGCATGTCATGTGGGGCTGGATTTGGGAACGATAGGTCAGCACCCCCTGATTTGGCGGTTTATGAGGGGAGCGAGACAGCTTCGTCTGGTCACTAAATCCCTGATCCCGTCCTGGGACTTAACAGTGATTCTGGATGCGCTCTCGCAGCCTCCTTTTGAACCATTAGAGGGCATTGATTTGCAGCGTCTTTCTTTAAAGACGGCTTTGTTGATCGCTCTTTCTACAGCAAAGCGCGTAAGTGAATTACACGCTTTGTCAGTACATCATTCCTGTATGCAGTTTGCATTGGATGGATTGAAAGTTCCGCTAAGGACTAACCCGGCATTTGTTCCTAAGGTCAGGGACACAACAGGAACAAACAAATCTGTGGAATTGCTAGCGTCTTTTTCTTCATCAGAGGAAGAGCGGTTACACTGTTTATGCCCGGTGCGTTCTTTGAGTGTTTATGTGCAGAAGACGAGATTGTTACAAAGGAGTAATCAGCTCTTCGTCTCTTGGGCTGACAATTATCGAGGAAGTCCTGTTTCATGTCAACGGCTTTCTCACTGGGTGGTAGACACGATCGTAATGTGTTACAAGGATGTAAATTTACCACCTCGACTTCGCGCCCACTCCACACGTAGAATAGCCACGTCCTGGGCGATGTTCAGAGGAGTTTCTATTTAGGACAATTGTGCTGCGGCGAGCTGGGCATCACTGCACACATGTGTGAGATTTTATAGATTGGATGTGACAGAGTCGTCACTCGTGCATTCAGTGCTGGGAGCAGGAGCGGTGCCTGATATGTAATGCATTTTATTCAGGGCATACGTGCATATTTTCAATTCAGCAGTATAATCAGTGTTGGGGAAAGTTACTTTTAAAAGTAATGCATTACTTTCAGGATGCTCTGAGCGGTCACACTGCTCTTGGGCCCTCGTGCGGCCTTTGACTTCATGACCTCCCGTCGTAGAGCTGCTATCTCCTCTTGAGCCTGCAGTGGGAGACAGGGCACATCTGAGGCCACATTGTTTAGTGAAATACTGGTGATATATTGCTGAGTGCTTTCTTTCTGGGTAAGAAACGTATTCAAAATAAAGTGTGCAAATAATCAAAAGTTTCCAAAATTATATATTTATATATGTATTTATATTACAAATATTTATATAAAACTCAAATAACAAATATATGTTAATTCGTTCAAAACTAATTTGATGCATGTACTAAAAACTATTATGCTAAAATATTAAATTAATATTGTTTTATTATTTAATAGTTTAATCTATATAAAATTAAATAATTGTTTTTACTGTATACTGTTATTGTAATGAAGCCAAAATAATGTATTAATATATATCTGACAAATAATACTACTAATAAATATATAGGCTATATTGTTTTATTAATTTACATTTTTAATTAATATAAAATTAAAGAATTGTTTTTACTTTATACTTTTATTGTAATGAAGTCAAAACAAATATAATTGTTGATTTAACATTTTAATTAATATAAAATACAATAATAGTTTTTACTGTATATTGTCATTGTAGTGAAGCCAAAACAAATGCTTCAGATATTATCTGGCAAATAATACTACTAATATATATTTATATTATATATTTATATAAAATCTATACATATACTTAATTATATACTCAATTTGATCAAATAGTGTTTTATATAAATGTTATATTTTAACTAATATCAAATTAAATAATTGTTTTACTGTATACTATTATTGTAATGAAGCCAAAACAAATTTAAAAAATATATAATCTAGCAAGTAATACTACTAATAAATATATAGCTATATATAAATTTATATAAATTTATATAAATATAATAATTTGACCAAAACAAATTTGATTCATGTGGTTAAAAAAATATATTGTGTAAATTATAAAACTTTATTAACATGAAATTGCAAGTTAAATATCAGTCACTCAGAATTAACCATGTGTGTGTGTTTAAAAAAAAAAATACTATGTGTGTTTCACACCCCAAAATGAACACAACAACCTGACTGAAGAATTCTGGGAGGATTGGCGCTGTCTACCTGCTGGTAGTGCATTCTGGTCTTGTCCCGTTCGGCTGTGAGCACTTTAACATTGGCCTGGATCTCTGAGAGGTGCCGCTCTTGTTTCTCCAACATGTTTTGCAGTTCATCTCTTTCTCGTAACACCCTCATTATCTCTGAATCGTACGTGCCACCCTTTAAAAAGAGAGACACATAAAAAAGGAATTAGCAGAATTAAAAGAAACTAATCTCACTGATATGAATGCACTGATGGCTTATTAGTACTTTAACAGGTGAGTGTCTGGTGGGACTGCGATGGGTAGATGCCCCCTTGATAGGGCTGGTAGAGCGACGAGCCCTCAGCATCCTTGGCCTCGTCAGCTGTATCAGAATACTGAGAAATAGAGAAATAATCTTCCAACTGTTGAAGTAAATGTGAGGAACATGAAGATTTGGAGATGATTAATTTAAACATTAGTCTTGCATTTCTGGCCCAAAACTCACCTAAACCTCCTGTTCAGGCTCCATGTTTCGACGGTTTCTAGTGCCACCTGTTGGATCTACCACGTTACTACAACCTATAAAAATTAAAAATGGCATCTTTGGGGCATCTTATGTCTCACAATTCAGTTGACTTAATTAAATGTTTTACCAGTCATTAGTTTGCGCTCTAGTTTGGGTCCTATGTAAAAAACAAACACACATTTATTTTGTAAAGTTACTTAATTCTCATTAAGAAATTTTGATGTCTTATAAAAAAAACATTTTGATGGGTATTGAGAGCTATACATTTAAATAAAGCATGCCTGTATTGACATGTTTATGCAGAAACGTATTGATTCGACTTTTCTTAAGCAAAACTTATCAAAATAAACCACATCGCGGACACAGGTTGTCATGGCAACTGAGATACTACGTTTGCACGTCACTGAAAATGCGTCCCGTGCAACAATGACTTTTTAAGAACGTAACGTATAACATATTGTATTTTACCATTTTAATGATTACTGATAATTGTTGCAAGCCACAACACGCACTTAAAGTAAGTATGCTTGGCACTGACGCTAATATGTTTGTACACTGGCACACAAAATCATTCACACGAAAAAATAACTGTAAATTTGAACCTCGCAAAAGCTGCAAATACATTCTGCTTTCATGAAAGACAGCTCAGAAGACAAAGCATTGTTTGTGTAAGTTAGCTTGTGTTACCTCGTGTAGTGGTTCACGCAAATGAAAAACACAAAGAGTGTGTTGAAGAAAATCTCAACACGTTAAAGCTCTTTAGCCGGAGGGAGAAACATCAACATTGACCAATCACAACACAGCATTAAACTGTCAGTCAAGACAGACGGCGACCAATCAGAACGCACTCTCCCTCCGTTTGCGTCCGTTGCCTTGACTACAAGTTGTGAACGCTCACGCTCAGTAGTTTTGAAGTTGAGATGAAGCAGTGAAGCGGAACCAGACCAAATATACATATATAAATAAACGGAATAAATATATAAACGGAAACAAAACAGAAGTATAGTGCGCGAAAATAGATCTATAATGGTTGAAATGTATGGAGGACGAAACCTGCAAAAACAATAAATAAATAAATACACAAATAAATAAATAAATGTGTGTATAAATACACAAATTCTTGTTTAAATACATATAGAAATAATTAAACATGTGATTAAAGTAGGCAAATAAATAGAATAAATTGGTGGGCAAATGGAAAATGTTTAAGGAAATGCTAAACTCATCCTATTTATTTTCCTTTGATCACTCATTTATTTCTGAATGTAGTCCCGCATTTATTTTTCCTCTGCACAACATGCTAATGAGAGGGTGTCAACCATGGACTTAAGCCCCGTTCACACCAAGAACGATAACTATAAAGATAACGATATTAGCGTCCACACCAGCGAACGATATCGTCTGTTTATTCTAAGCGCACGCGCGTCTGCCGCTTTAAACTCTTGAGCTCGTGACAGCAGGATGGATTCTGATTGGCTGTCAGTGTTTTATCATTCATCAGCTGGAAAAAAATCGTTTTGAAAGTGATCACAACCGTGATATCGTTCCTCTGTATCGTTATAGTTGTGGTGTGAACTATGCTATTCTTTAATATTGAGAACGATTTTTAGAACTATATCGTTATCTTTATAGTTATCGTGCTTGGTGTGAACGGGCCTTTAGTCGGGACTTGTGATAGCTGGGGGCGTGGCTTTCCCGCTGACAGGAGATGCATGGTGTTAATCCAGTATAGCCTAGTAAAGTCACTTTTGCCGTTCAACAGAGCAAGATACATACCTAAACCTCCTGTTCAGGCTCCATGTTTCGACGGTTTCTAGTGCCACCTGTTGGATCTACCACGTTACTACAACATATAAAAATTAAAAATGGCATCTTTGGGGCATCTTATGTCTCACAATTCAGTTGACTTAATTAAATGTTTTACCAGTCATTAGTTTGCGCTCTAGTTTGGGTCCTATGTAAAAAACAAACACACATTTATTTTGTAAAGTTACTTAATTCTCATTAAGAAATTTTGATGTCTTATAAAAAAAACATTTTGATGGGTATTGAGAGCTATACATTTCAATAAAGCATGCCTGTATTGACATGTTTATGCAGAAACGTATTGATTCGACTTTTCTTAAGCAAAACTTATGAAAATAAACCACATCGCGGACACAGGTTGTCATGGCAACTGAGATACTACGTTTGCACGTCACTGAAAATGCGTCCCGTGCAACAATGACTTTTTAAGAACGTAACGTATAACATATTGTATTTTACCATTTTAATGATTACTGATAATTGTTGCAAGCCACAACACGCACTTAAAGTAAGTATGCTTGGCACTGACGCTAATATGTTTGTACACTGGCACACAAAATCATTCACACGAAAAAATAACTGTAAATTTGAACCTCGCAAAAGCTGCAAATACATTCTGCTTTCATGAAAGACAGCTCAGAAGACAAAGCATTGTTTGTGTAAGTTAGCTTGTGTTACCTCGTGTAGTGGTTCACGCAAATGAAAAACACAAAGAGTGTGTTGAAGAAAATCTCAACACGTTAAAGCTCTTTAGCCGGAGGGAGAAACATCAACATTGACCAATCACAACACAGCATTAAACTGTCAGTCAAGACAGACGGCGACCAATCAGAACGCACTCTCCCTCCGTTTGCGTCCGTTGCCTTGACTACAAGTTGTGAACGCTCACGCTCAGTAGTTTTGAAGTTGAGATGAAGCAGTGAAGCGGAACCAGACCAAATATACATATATAAATAAACGGAATAAATATATAAACGGAAACAAAACAGAAGTATAGTGCGCGAAAATAGATCTATAATGGTTGAAATGTATGGAGGACGAAACCTGCAAAAACAATAAATAAATAAATACACAAATAAATAAATAAATGTGTGTATAAATACACAAATTCTTGTTTAAATACATATAGAAATAATTAAACATGTGATTAAAGTAGGCAAATAAATAGAATAAATTGGTGGGCAAATGGAAAATGTTTAAGGAAATGCTAAACTCATCCTATTTATTTTCCTTTGATCACTCATTTATTTCTGAATGTAGTCCCGCATTTATTTTTCCTCTGCACAACATGCTAATGAGAGGGTGTCAACCATGGACTTAAGCCCCGTTCACACCAAGAACGATAACTATAAAGATAACGATATTAGCGTCCACACCAGCGAACGATATCGTCTGTTTATTCTAAGCGCACGCGCGTCTGCCGCTTTAAACTCTTGAGCTCGTGACAGCAGGATGGATTCTGATTGGCTGTCAGTGTTTTATCATTCATCAGCTGGAAAAAAATCGTTTTGAAAGTGATCACAACCGTGATATCGTTCCTCTGTATCGTTATAGTTGTGGTGTGAACTATGCTATTCTTTAATATTGAGAACGATTTTTAGAACTATATCGTTATCTTTATAGTTATCGTGCTTGGTGTGAACGGGCCTTTAGTCGGGACTTGTGATAGCTGGGGGCGTGGCTTTCCCGCTGACAGGAGATGCATGGTGTTAATCCAGTATAGCCTAGTAAAGTCACTTTTGCCGTTCAACAGAGCAAGATACATAGAAAAACTGAGCCGTATTGTCCGTACAGTATCTGTGACTTTACAAACGAGCCAGTGGAATGGCCAGAGGTGTCATCTCAGGGCATTTGAGATTCGCAAATCTAGGGACCGTCTCTAAAGTTACATACGACATTGGTATACACTTTTCTAACTTCAATAGCATTTGAGGAAAATTACTTACAGTAACACAACCAACTGTTAAGTGTTCATGTGCATTATAACTGAGAACTACATGAACACTTAACAGTTGGTTGTGTTACTGTAAGTAATTTTCCTCAAATGCTATTGAAGTTAGAAAAGTGTATACCAATGTCGTATGTAACTTTAGAGACGGTCCCTAGATAATGCACTTGTAATGGAATTGCTCTATTGATATCTATTTATTTTATACACTAATGAAAGTGCTGAAAGTTTCTGAATTCTTTGAGATTTATGATGTTACCACTTGCATGAGATAATCAAGCTCATACCCCTGGTTGTCATTCACATGACCTCATCCTGTAGTGTCCAGTCTGCTTGAATGTTTTCTCCTCTTGTTCCCTTGAATGCTTTCTCTGTTATAAGGCCTAATGCTGCTTGGTTTGTTAGTGGGATAGGGTGATTTGGAGATTAGGTCTAAGGCCATAACCTCTATATACTGTACAGTCAAAACACTGACATTAAAACTTCATGCTTCCATTTAGTATGATGATGATGGTAAGTTAAAGGGATAGTTCACCCAAAAATGAAAATTAGCCTATGATTTACTTGCCCTCGAGGCATCCTAGGAGTATATGACTTTCTTCTTTCAGACAGATCCAATCGGAGTTATATAAAAAAAATTGTCCTGGCTCTTCCGAGCTTTATAATGGCAGTGGGCCGGTGTTTCTGTTAAACAGTTCAAAAGAAGTCCAATAAAGCGCATCCATCCATACTAAAAAGTGCCTCACACGGCTCCAGGGGGTGAATAAAGACCTCCTGTAGCGAATCGACGCATTCTTTTAAGAAATGTATCCATACTTAAAACGTTAGATCCACTTTTCTGTAGCTTGCGCTAACTGTCGTACGCGGAAGCCGTTCTGGGCGGATGACGTAGGACGTATGCGCCGGTGTGCACATGCTAGGCTGGCGAAAACCAACTTTGTTTACAGGAGCAAAGGAAAACCAGTCTCCTCTTGGCTTATATCGAAATCCTCCGACATTTGTCTTTACAAATCCTCGTTTTGTACTAATTCGTGACCGGTGTTTTGTTTTGTTCTCTCCTCTCTGCTTCCGCGTTCGTCACTTCTCACCGGCGCATGCGCTACCCATACGTCCTGCGTTGTCTGCCCGGAACGACAGTTACAGGAAGTGACAGAAAAGTGTTTATAAGTTCTTAAATATGTATATTTTTATTACAACAACGCATGGATTCGCTACAGAAGGCCTTCATTCACCCCCCGGAGCCGTGTGAGGCATGTTTTGCTATGGATGTATGCGCTTAATTTCACTTCTTTTGGACTGATGAACTGTAACACCCGCTGAGTGCCATTCTAGAGCTTGGAAGATCAAATAATTTTTTTAAATATAACTCTGACTGGATTCGTCTGAAAGAAGAAAGTCATATACACCTAGGATGCCTTGAGTGCGATTACATATAGTCTGCGATAATATCGTAATTGTTGTTTTAACGATGTGCAATTTGACATTATCGAGTATTTTGCAAAAAACTTTCAAAACACCCCTACAGAGTGCATGCATGCATACATTACATGAAGTCAAGACTAGTGCGCGTGCGCATTTAGAGTGCATTCTTTCACTGCATGATTCAGTCTATTACAATACATTTAGAATGATCACAAATTCAAGACATGGGGGCAGAAAATGTATGTATTTATACCACTTCAAATAGCCTATTTAATCAATTTCACTCAAAGAGTGCCATTTTTTTCTCCAAAAATGACAATGATTACAAATGTGATATTGATTTTTTTTTACAACAGTTCAATAAACAAGAAGTTAATTAAGAGACTTCCATTTTAGACACCATATTTCCTGTTTTTGCGCTATTTCGACAACAAAAAATTATTCCAAACACAGCCACAACGCTGTTTTGCGTCTCTGAGCAACATGACGGTGTTTCATTCCTGAATGAATCAACCGTTTAAATGATTCGGTTCAATCGCATTCTCAGTGACATTAACAGTGACTTGCTTCCACCTACTGGTGGATTTAATTTCACATTCAGAGTATCTTTTGTTATTTAGATAATTTCAAATATCAGTATTCAAAAGATAATGGACACTTTTAGAAAAAGGTATACAAAAAATTTACTTGCCCTCGAGGCATCCTAGGAGTATATGACTTTCTTCTTTCAGACAGATCCAATCGGAGTTATATAAAAAAAATTGTCCTGGCTCTTCCGAGCTTTATAATGGCAGTGGGCCGGTGTTTCTGTTAAACAGTTCAAAAGAAGTCCAATAAAGCGCATCCATCCATACTAAAAAGTGCCTCACACGGCTCCAGGGGGTGAATAAAGACCTCCTGTAGCGAATCGACGCATTCTTTTAAGAAATATATCCATACTTAAAACGTTAGATCCACTTTTCTGTAGCTTGCGCTAACTGTCGTACGCGGAAGCCGTTCTGGGCGGATGACGTAGGACGTATGCGCCGGTGTGCACATGCTAGGCTGGCGAAAACCAACTTTGTTTACAGGAGCAAAGGAAAACCAGTCTCCTCTTGGCTTATATCGAAATCCTCCGACATTTGTCTTTACAAATCCTCGTTTTGTACTAATTCGTGACCGGTGTTTTGTTTTGTTCTCTCCTCTCTGCTTCCGCGTTCGTCACTTCTCACCGGCGCATGCGCTACCCATACGTCCTGCGTTGTCTGCCCGGAACGACAGTTACAGGAAGTGACAGAAAAGTGTTTATAAGTTCTTAAATATGTATATTTTTATTACAACAACGCATGGATTCGCTACAGAAGGCCTTCATTCACCCCCCGGAGCCGTGTGAGGCATGTTTTGCTATGGATGTATGCGCTTAATTTCACTTCTTTTGGACTGATGAACTGTAACACCCGCTGAGTGCCATTCTAGAGCTTGGAAGATCAAATAATTTTTTTAAATATAACTCTGACTGGATTCGTCTGAAAGAAGAAAGTCATATACACCTAGGATGCCTTGAGTGCGATTACATATAGTCTGCGATAATATCGTAATTGTTGTTTTAACGATGTGCAATTTGACATTATCGAGTATTTTGCAAAAAACTTTCAAAACACCCCTACAGAGTGCATGCATGCATTACATGAAGTCAAGACTAGTGCGCGTGCGCATTTAGAGTGCATTCTTTCACTGCATGATTCAGTCTATTACAATACATTTAGAATGATCACAAATTCAAGACATGGGGGCAGAAAATGTATGTATTTATACCACTTCAAATAGCCTATTTAATCAATTTCACTCAAAGAGTGCCATTTTTTTCTCCAAAAATGACAATGATTACAAATGTGATATTGATTTTTTTTTACAACAGTTCAATAAACAAGAAGTTAATTAAGAGACTTCCATTTTAGACACCATATTTCCTGTTTTTGCGCTATTTCGACAACAAAAAATTATTCCAAACACAGCCACAACGCTGTTTTGCGTCTCTGAGCAACATGACGGTGTTTCGTTCCTGAATTAATCAACCGTTTAAATGATTCGGTTCAATCGCATTCTCAGTGACATTAACAGTGACTTGCTTCCACCTACTGGTGGATTTAATTTCACATTCAGAGTATCTTTTGTTATTTAGATAATTTCAAATATCAGTATTCAAAAGATAATGGACACTTTTAGAAAAAGGTATACAAAAAAGGTATACAAAATGCCCATAAAATGTAAAAATCAGTTAAAACTTATTGGAAAGATTAATTTCTATCAGTGTGAACTGACCACTGCACAGAACATGAAGAATATCAGAGTCAGAGTAAGCAGAGTCAGCTGTCCATGGCAGTCCTTAAGATACCAGCACAATAACACACTAAGCAAAATATCGTCTAATTATCGTTATCGATAAAATCCCAGAAAATATTGAGATATTATTTTTTGTCAGTATCGCACACCCCTACTTGAGGGTGAGTAAATCATGGGCTAATTTTCATTTTTGGGTGAACTAACCCTTTAAGTAGTTTTTAGTCAGCTTGTCGCTAATGATTAGTTGGAGTGAGGTCTGGGGTTTTTAGGACTTTGTTGATTTTCAGCCATCACAGTGTGGTTTTGTGTGTTGTTGGAGCTCCACCACTATGGGCACTAAACAGAATTACAGAAACAATGACTGTTTTCAGACAAGTTTCCCACTTTTTCAATCTACCATTGTTGGGACAAATATATTCACCAGCCATGAATATGTTAAAGAAACTATGATTGTTTTTTAGACTGTGGCTGAAATCATTTTAGTACCCTTAATAATTAGACTGTGCAACATAGGCTATTTAAAAAAAAAACATTTGCATAATATTTGCTTAAATTAGAAACACTTGCCTTTTTAAATAATTTTAACCCTGCTTTCAATACCATTACTATTTTTTTGTTATCGTTTGGTCATTGTTGTGTTAATTTCAATTTCATGAAAAATGTATTTGTATTACAGATCTGTATTTGTAATCATTTTATGAACACTTTAATTCTAAACATTAAATGTCTTGATAACAAGTCAAATACATCAAAAGCAACAGCATCACACATAGTGGCAAAATACAATCAAAAACCTCCAGACATTTCATTCACAATCATCCTGCAATAAACAGCAGACTTTGACCTGGTTAATCTTTCACTACAGAATCACATTAGCTTCTAAATACCTCAGATTACCACTCACTTACAGAAGGCGTGTATTGGGTCGAATTGTTCTGTGTAGGGCTGCACAATTAATCAAATTTCTAATCGCGATTACAAATATAGATGCCACAATTACGTAATCGTTCAAAGCGGCAATTAATCGTATAAAGTCCACTTATGTTATTCTGCATGCTTAAGATGCGTTTTTTTCTTTCTACATGTTAACTTAAGGGTTTTCCCCATTATTTTAATTTTTAGGATAATCGTAATTAATAATCGCAATTACAATTTCAAGGGAATAATCGACAATTATGATTTTTGTTATAATCGTGCAGCCCTAATTCTAATATGCTAATTTGATGCTCAAGAAACATTTCTGATTATCATCAACTGCTGTGCTTGCTTAATATTTCTGTAGAAACTGTGATTTTTTTTTAAAGGTTTTGATGAATAGAAATTGCATTTATTTGAAACATCAAGTAAAATCACATCTTTTTCATGTGGCATTGCTGAATAAAAGTATTAATTTCTTGGGAAAAAATCTTAGTAGTAGTGTAATATACAATTACAATTATTTTTCTAGTGCTTAATTGTCAATGTCATACTGCCAAAAATTGAAATTTGTAATAATGTGGGCTAGTGTGTCCCTGTCTTTCCAGGTTTGGATGTTTTATCCATCGATTTGCAACAAACTCTAATGTGTTTGTGTGCTGAACTGAATGAGCGTTCTAGATTTTGTGTGTGTGTGTGTGTTCCCATGTGCACAAGCATAAACGAGTGAGTTGAGTGAACAATGGCTTTCTGAATGAGTGCATCTTGTCTGTTTTTTAAACCACTGGCTGCAGGTTCATGTAGGCGTGTTCATGACAATAGGATAAACAGATCTGTCTACTAAACATAATGCTGCTATTGTGAAATAAAGACAGTATACTAATCTCAGTCAATCTGTCTTGTGCAGTGTAATGCAAGCAGCCATGCTTTTGTAAAACAGTGTGATTGTGTTTTAGGAAAGACCCAGTTTTATGTTCGCCGTGTTTCTGTCTGCAGATCCTGATAGAGTTCTGTGGCGGCGGAGCCGTCGATGCTGTCATGCTCGGTGAGTTCACACAAAGTGTTTGACATGCAAGACTGCATCAGGAAAAGGTCACTTACAATGACCAGTTCCTTGTCAATAGCCAAAAACACATTTAATTTCTTAAAGGCGAAGTCGAACTTTAAATGCGCATTGATTATTCTCACCATTTGCATGACCTGTTAAAATAATCAGTTCAGTTTACGTTATTAGTGTCTAAATATAGATTTGTTTTCTAGCATAATACCATAGTTTATGAATTTTTTTGAAGGAAATTCATATTTTAATTTATCAAGGCTGCATTCAATTGATCAAAAGTGACAGTAAAGACTTTTATAATGATATAAGTAAATGCTGTTCTTTTGATCTTTCTATTCATCAAAGAATCCTTAAAGTATCACTGTTTCCACAAAGATATAAACAGTACAAATGTACAACATTGATAATAAGAAGAAATATATCTATATATCTTGATTATAATGATTTCTGAAGGATCACGTGACAATGAAGACTGTTGTAATGATGCTGAAAATTCAGCTTTGCAGCTTTGCATTAACTTGCATTAATTATTAAGTAGAAAACGCTTAACAATTTTAAAATGTCATAATATTTCTCAATACTACTGTATTTTTGATTAAATAAATGCACAAAAGATACATTGAAAAACATTACATCTTACAGACCCCAAAAGTGTATGCTGAACGTTGCGTCTTCTTTTCTTTTCTTTAAAATGTGTGTTGGAAACACATCACAATATAACATTTTTATGTAAACACCATTTAAAAATAAAACCGAAAAAAAGCAATGGTCCTTAAACCAGTTTCCACATTAACCTGTCACACATTAATTATTTTTGTTTAATTATTTATATCTACTGAAAACCTTTTTGGCAACTATATATAAATTACTCCGTGTAAATACACATTTAATCCAGATATTGCATAGTAATTCCTGAGGCAGTTCACTCAATGTAATTGCTTCTCGATCCATGTTTGGCACAGGTAGTAAAATGTGACAGCAGGGCTTTATGGAGGGTCACACAACCAGTTTGTAATGACACTGATTGAAGTTTTCACAAATATTGTGTTTCTAGTATTTTGATTAAAGTTAGCTTGCAGTTTAGTTAGTGAGTCATATGTTGATTGGCTTGGGCTGATTCAATGAGTTAATTCAGTGTAGGACTCATCAGGCTGATAAAGACTGGTACCTCCTGAGTTTGCATTGAAAGAATTGACTTATGCAAGAAATAAAAAAATCAACAAATTTTATACGCCTAAAAACTCAGATGTTAGGAAACCTTATATATAAATAAGGTGATCTTATTGTAATAGTATATGTAAATTATGTTTAATCTTTGTATAAGTGCGTTTGTGTATGGTAGCATTTCCCTGTTCATGCTCTGTGTGTGTGTGTGTGTGTGTGTGTATGTAGAGCTGGAAAGGCCTCTGACGGAGCCGCAGATCAGGGTGGTTTGTAAGCAGACTCTGGATGCTCTGCAGTATCTGCATGACGGCAAGGTGATCCACAGAGACCTTAAGGCTGGAAACATCCTGCTGACACTCGACGGAGACGTCAAACTGGGTGAGTGGGATTTCAGGGAGTGTTTAGAGGGGCGGATGCATGTGCAGCTAGTTAATTATCTCAGGAAGTTTGTTCTCTTGAGTGACGGTGGAGTGTTTTTAGTTTTGTTGCCCATCAGCTACGTATAACTGAGTGCAGTGGGAGATTTCAGCCATTTTGCATGATGAGCAGTTTCACAGTCACGTGATAACATCGTAGAGCAGTGATGGGCAACGTCGGTCCTGGAGTGCCACTGTCCTGCAGAGTTTAGCTCTAACCCTAATCAAACACGCCTGAAAAAGCTAATCAAGGTTTCAGGTTTACTATGGCTTTAGAAAAGTTAGGGTTTTTTTTCAGGGTTGGAGCTAAACTCTGCAGGACATCGGCACTCCAGGACCGACATTGCCTACCCCTGTAGTAGAGAGACACAGAAAGATACAGAGAGGAACTGAGGAGGGTCAGACTAAACCACAGCTAAAATAAACTTCACATCATTGACCAGATGTAAATTATTCTGTGATGCTGGCTTGTAAAACTACTGAATGTCATTGCATTAGACAACAAAATATCAAGACAAGCACCATTTATTTTATATAAAGGTGGCACAAGCACTCTCTTCAGGCAGAACATTCTCAAAATGAACATTTTCTGTGTTTTTCAGCGGACTTTGGAGTGTCTGCCAAGAACACAAAGACCATCCAGCGAAGAGACTCTTTCATTGGAACGCCTTACTGGCAAGTTAGAGTTTTATGAAATGAAGCTACTTGTACATACACACATTGACATGGCTGACACGTAAGCAGCCATGCTTTTGTAAAACAGTGTGATTGTGTTTTAGGAAAGACCCAGTTTTATGTTCGCCGTGTTTCTGTCTGCAGATCCTGATAGAGTTCTGTGGCGGCGGAGCCGTCGATGCTGTCATGCTCGGTGAGTTCACACAAAGTGTTTGACATGCAAGACTGCATCAGGAAAAGGTCACTTACAATGACCAGTTCCTTGTCAATAGCCAAAAACACATTTAATTTCTTAAAGGCGAAGTCGAACTTTAAATGCGCATTGATTATTCTCACCATTTGCATGACCTGTTAAAATAATCAGTTCAGTTTACGTTATTAGTGTCTAAATATAGATTTGTTTTCTAGCATAATACCATAGTTTATGAATGAGGGTCAGAATTTTTTTTTTTTTTGAAGGAAATTCATATTTTAATTTATCAAGGCTGCATTCAATTGATCAAAAGTGACAGTAAAGACTTTTATAATGATATAAGTAAATGCTGTTCTTTTGATCTTTCTATTCATCAAAGAATCCTTAAAGTATCACTGTTTCCACAAAGATATAAACAGTACAAATGTACAACATTGATAATAAGAAGAAATATATCTTGAGAAGCATATTATAATGATTTCTGAAGGATCACGTGACAATGAAGACTGTTGTAATGATGCTGAAAATTCAGCTTTGCATCATATAAGTAACTTGCATTAATTATTAAGTAGAAAACGCTTAACAATTTTAAAATGTCATAATATTTCTCAATACTACTGTATTTTTGATTAAATAAATGCACAAAAGATACATTGAAAAACATTACATCTTACAGACCCCAAAAGTGTACGCTGAACGTTGCGTCTTCTTTTCTTTTCTTTAAAATGTGTGTTGGAAACACATCACAATATAAAATTTTTATGTAAACACCATTTAAAAATAAAACCGAAAAAAAGCAATGGTCCTTAAACCAGTTTCCACATTAACCTGTCACACATTAATTATTTTTGTTTAATTATTTATATCTACTGAAAACCTTTTTGGCAACTATATATAAATTACTCCGTGTAAATACACATTTAATCCAGATATTGCATAGTAATTCCTGAGGCAGTTCACTCAATGTAATTGCTTCTCGATCCATGTTTGGCACAGGTAGTAAAATGTGACAGCAGGGCTTTATGGAGGGTCACACAACCAGTTTGTAATGACACTGATTGAAGTTTTCACAAATATTGTGTTTCTAGTATTTTGATTAAAGTTAGCTTGCAGTTTAGTTAGTGAGTCATATGTTGATTGGCTTGGGCTGATTCAATGAGTTAATTCAGTGTAGGACTCATCAGGCTGATAAAGACTGGTACCTCCTGAGTTTGCATTGAAAGAATTGACTTATGCAAGAAATAAAAAAATCAACAAATTTTATACGCCTAAAAACTCAGATGTTAGGAAACCTTATATATAAATAAGGTGATCTTATTGTAATAGTATATGTAAATTATGTTTAATCTTTGTATAAGTGCGTTTGTGTATGGTAGCATTTCCCTGTTCATGCTCTGTGTGTGTGTGTGTGTGTGTGTGTATGTAGAGCTGGAAAGGCCTCTGACGGAGCCGCAGATCAGGGTGGTTTGTAAGCAGACTCTGGATGCTCTGCAGTATCTGCATGACGGCAAGGTGATCCACAGAGACCTTAAGGCTGGAAACATCCTGCTGACACTCGACGGAGACGTCAAACTGGGTGAGTGGGATTTCAGGGAGTGTTTAGAGGGGCGGATGCATGTGCAGCTAGTTAATTATCTCAGGAAGTTTGTTCTCTTGAGTGACGGTGGAGTGTTTTTAGTTTTGTTGCCCATCAGCTACGTATAACTGAGTGCAGTGGGAGATTTCAGCCATTTTGCATGATGAGCAGTTTCACAGTCACGTGATAACATCGTAGAGCAGTGATGGGCAACGTCGGTCCTGGAGTGCCACTGTCCTGCAGAGTTTAGCTCTAACCCTAATCAAACACGCCTGAAAAAGCTAATCAAGGTTTCAGGTTTACTATGGCTTTAGAAAAGTTAGGGTTTTTTTTCAGGGTTGGAGCTAAACTCTGCAGGACATCGGCACTCCAGGACCGACATTGCCTACCCCTGTAGTAGAGAGACACAGAAAGATACAGAGAGGAACTGAGGAGGGTCAGACTAAACCACAGCTAAAATAAACTTCACATCATTGACCAGATGTAAATTATTCTGTGATGCTGGCTTGTAAAACTACTGAATGTCATTGCATTAGACAACAAAATATCAAGACAAGCACCATTTATTTTATATAAAGGTGGCACAAGCACTCTCTTCAGGCAGAACATTCTCAAAATGAACATTTTCTGTGTTTTTCAGCGGACTTTGGAGTGTCTGCCAAGAACACAAAGACCATCCAGCGAAGAGACTCTTTCATTGGAACGCCTTACTGGCAAGTTAGAGTTTTATGAAATGAAGCTACTTGTACATACACACATTGACATGGCTGACACGTTGATATCACTCTCTTTCATTCAGGATGGCCCCAGAGGTTGTAATGTGCGAGACGTTTAAGGACAGGCCGTATGACTATAAGGCTGATATTTGGTCTCTAGGAGTCACTCTGATCGAGCTGGCCCAGATCGAACCGCCCAACCATGAGATGAACCCAATGAGAGTTCTGCTCAAGATCGCCAAAGCTGACCCACCGACTCTCCAGCAGCCTTCAAAATGGTACAAAATCAAGTGATTTGTGTATGAAATATTTGTGTGAATATGTCAAAAAC